GACTAGTTATACCGTAAATTAGTTAAAATATCCCGTAATCTATTTAGAGCGAGCGTGCATGCGAGACAGATATTGTGCTCCAAACCGTGCGCGCGCATGGCAGAGAGGTCTGTTCCCTACAACCTAGAGTTTTTAAAAACATGGTTTTAAGTAAAGTGTGATTTGCCAGGGGGGACTGGGATTTCCTTCTGGTCTAAACATCCCTACTTCTGCTGAATTATTTTAATCCCCACACCCCTCCCTCCACAGCTAATCAATGCTATAGGCTACTTCACCAATATCAAATATATAAAATAGAGATATGCAACAGGCACGTTTAAACGAAAAACAATAAAATCAAAACCAGCGTTTCAGTTGTTCATTAGTTCCAGTGGCCTTAATGCATGCACGGCTTTTCAAAATTTCACAAAGCGTGTTGAGATTATTTTGAATGAAATATTGAAGTTTATAATTAAGTGTTTTGGCACACCACGCCGAGTGACCCTATGCATTTTTCTAAAGTCGGGTTTTATTCTGGCATCGTGAGTTAGTGTTCGACAAACGCGGCGGCGCGTTCATTTAGATTAATTTATTTATCTCATTATTACAGCTAAAATAACTTAATAGGCGACTCCGTAATTTTTTGGTCATACAGATAAGAGTAGAGTAGCTTACATCGTTCAAAACTGTAAACTTGTATTCATATTAGGCTAACGACAAAAACAGTATATCTGTCCTCTCTGTCTCCGGGAACTGCGCGTCACAAAAATGAACCGAAAGCCACTTCAGCTCAGTCACGATAAGAAATCGGCTATGTCTAAAGCCTTTAAATGTCTAAATATTTAGGCTAATAAATGTTATCTGATTATGTAGGCTAATCCATATGAAAACGAGAGGTACAGAGGATCTACTCAAACATGCGCTTCCCAATGAGAAAATGACAAGACATGGGTGAAAATCTCGCTCTAATTAAATGTAGGCTAAATCGCCCTGAATTAAAATGTAAAAACATAATAATGTATTTGTCGAAATGTTGCGATATTGTTTCATTTAAGTTCATAATTATTCTATAAATGTTATTTAATTTAGCAGCATTACCACGAAGCACCGTGTTTCGATATTTATTTGAATAATACAAAATAAAATAAAAACTTAATTCACAAATTGCATGCCTGGTTGTAAGGATCCAAAGATCCCTGTAGACTTTAATATTAAGTGACAACAAATTCACAAGCGTTTTTTCAGATTATATTTAGTTTTGCTTGGAAAAAGCTGCCCCAAACCAGTTTTATTTCATCAATTATTGAAATAATGAAATATTTAGTAATAAACTTTTATGACAGAAATATCACTAGGCTACATGTAACTTAAATCATTTAATTCCTTCATTATCAACACTGTCTAGAATGGCGATTTAAGTGTGAATTGCGACTTCTCTTTGTGTTAAGTCAGCCTCAGACTCCGATAGCCTGTGGGGGGTTGGAGGGACAGTTGCTGGACAAAGGTGTTAATGTTCCTCTTTCATATGGAGAGTGTCGGATAGCCAGCCTGATGAGCAGGCAAAATTATTGTAAGGATAAATCTGTGTCCAAATGTAGGCCCCATATCTTATTAAATTATAAATATTGTAGTTTATTTATTGTAGCCTATTTAAAGTTTTTTTTTCACACAAAATTTCAATTGAAGTTATTGTAAGGTGAATTCAACAAGGCATGCTGTGTCTTTGAAGCAACAATTAAAGGTTAAATAATTTTTTCGTGATTTGTATGGCTGACACGCAGCGACATATACAGTATTATCAGCTGTATGATGTGTTTTTACCCTGAAATGATTAATTTCGAGAGAGAGACCCGCGCGCGCAGCGAGGGAGACTAAATAAACTTGTTAAAAAGAGATCCAGCGCGAGAGAGGCAAAGAGAAACGCATGTTTTTAATTTAATTATGTTTCTTTGGACAATTTTCGTTTTGTAGGCCTACTGTTTTAATTGTTTAATTTAGCTGTAATTTCTTTGGCAATACAAATTTAAAATGTCGCAAGAATAAGATTAGCCTAGTGTTTCTTATTTTGCATCGCAAAAGAAATAAACTCTAAACAAGATGCAACCCTGTTTTAAATTAAACAATTTAAACCTTGAAATGTTCGAACTTGGTTTCAAACTTAAGTAATTTTAGTGTTCTTTTACATTACACAATAATTTAGCAGACTAAAGACGAGCTTCTTCATTTTCATTTTCTGATCGGCTGACAATCTTCATCAGTTTTTGTCGTTTGTGCAGCGGCTGCGGTTCTACAGGAATGTAGCAAATTTATGTTGTAATGATAATCAAACAAAACTCTTAACTTTAAATAAGTAAACAGATATAAACAGTTACCTATTTAAGCATCAAGGTGGGAAAATATAAACGTAGGACAACATCGGTTAACAACATCTATGCTACATTGAGATTCGATCTCGGGTCTGTTGAAGCTCCTCGAAGCTCGTGTCGTTGCGTTGATCACTGAGCTATCGTCTGTACGCTGTTAAAGTTGTAAAGCCTCGTTCATGTAGCCTAAATGTTTTTATTGCAATGTTTTATGTTGAAATGTTTTCATTATTTATTCAATTACATTTCAGTAGCCTAATTTCAGTATTGTGATTATGAATTATTTTAACTACGTTTCACTTGTTGAATTCTTCTGCTACCAGCTTTCAATCGCTCTGAATCAGCGCGGTGCGGCAGCAGATTACGCATTAGAGAGAATAAACCGGAATAAACGAACACTTTTCAGAGTCTATGATTGTAGCGCCTCTTAGCGGTAAAAGGCAGCAAATACACCACACATTTTACCGCCGCGGTGGAACAGCTGATGTGGGCGTTGTCATGGCTTGCCTCGACATTTGCGTTTGAATAGCGCGCGTCGTCCGTGGGCGTGTCAGATTAACGCGTAATGAAGTGTAATGAGCTGGGGGAAAAAATACTGACAGCACTCTCTTTTCATACAGATTGCATAAACTGAGAATATTTGTTTTTTATATAAATTACTTCATTTAAAAGAAGAGAATTCAAGCTTCATAAAGAAAAACCTCTCGTGCCTGTGTGACAAGTAATCGCGGAGTTACAGTTAATCTTAGGACGCGTTTCAGAATGGACTTCACTGACAGAGAGAACGCAAAACTCGCATCATGTTTGTTTTTCTTTATTTGGTGAAAAGCACAACACTTTGTTTTTATTGTGAGTATCCACAAAAAAAATAGAAACTTAACAGGATCTAATGATGTACAACACTTATATGTAAGATCAAAATTAACAGAGTAATTTGAGTCTCTTTTGCACTGATAAGGAAAAAAGTGAGCTGGTATCGCCGGCGAGACCGCCGACCCCAGAGAGTTAAGCAGCATGCACAAACTGAGCAACAAAAGAGGTCAACGGTTTCCCACAAGCACTTGCTAAAAGACCACCTGAGACACAGTTGGAGCCCATATGCTCATAAGGGCTAACCAAACACCTGCATAAATTCTCAAATTCAGAAAAAAAATAATCATGAAAAGCGCTAAACCATGTATGAGTCTTTTTTTTCTTATTATTATTAATCAGGTTAACTGTCCTGCACTTATTAATGTAATTTCAGATTAGCTAGATGTGCTTCCAACTGAGCAGCTCCTGTTATGCATGGGCATAAGAGGATGTCTACTATCTAGAGGTAGTATTCACAGTTGTTCACATAACTGACTACAAGTATGGAGAAACTCTGGTGTTGATCACTGGAGTAGTACTGCGTGTCAGCCACGTTTCAGAACCACGGACAGCGACACTATCTGCGCAGCCCACTTTATTTGAGTACTACAAACTTAGATAGTTATGACCCAATCCTATCTAGTTTCATTTATAAGCAGAAAGGATTGATGGTATATCCCATAGGAGTACATGAGCAGTTCTGGTGAATGGCATATAACATAGAAAATGAATATGCAAACACTATATATTCTGTTTTCTCTTAGCATAATGATCTCAACACCACTCTAAAGAATGAAAGGAGCAACATCATAATGGCTATTATCATTTAGGGCACCAAATAAAGGCACCATTAAAACAATTAATGAATAATAGATGACTACTGATGAGTTGGTTAAGTGTTTTTTTTTCATCATAAATTTTTAAAAATGGGTCAATCACTGTCAAAAATATATACAAAGAATATTGCTTAATGTAATTGCTTGTTAAAAGTGACTAATTGGATTGGGGAGGGGTATTTTGTGTCAACTTTTCCACTTCATGATCATAAAGAAAATGTGATGGTCTTCTTTCTTAAAACAAATGAAATTAAACAAGCTCTTAAGCACACAAAGTGTTTTTGTTTGTTTTTACAACTAAGTAGAGTCTTTAATGCATGTCTATCATCCCTCTATGATGGCTGATGGTTTTAGACAACTCTCCTTTCAACAAGTAGTCCAACGTTTACCAGTTACTAATTCGCATAATTTATTAGACTAAAATTAGCAAGAACGTCAATAACTTCGTTATTCATCTCATCAAGACGGCGAATAAAGACCCTCAGAATAAGGTAGAACTCATACTATATTACTTTTCAGCATCATTATTATTAAACATAAACAAATTATACTGTATTATTTATAATATAGAATATTGTTGCGTTTTAAGATAATCACACAAAAACAATTTGGTCTAAAACAGACGCACCGTATTATAAAGCCTTCAGAGGCAGTGCGTCTTTAATGCAGCACATCACATTAAATAAATATATAAATAAAGCTGAACCAATTTCTTAATTTTGATGTCTATTTTGTATCTATGCTGGTTTTACTCAATACTTATATAATTGCACTGCACTGCAACATGAACACACATGTAAAGAGTGACAACACAGTGCATACCGTGTCATGTTTATCATTGTTCTGCGATTTAAAGTTATTATTTGTCGAATAAAGCCTGCAAAAAGCTTCCCTTCGACGTATTTTACGTACTAACTCACTGCACACACTTAAGTTTTGTTCAACACGGTGTCATTAATGCAAAACTTACTTTTCCAGTCGTGAATAGACGTGAAATGCCCTCAAGTTCTCAGTCCAGAAGTCTTCTGGACGAACTGAACTTCTTGTCGGTGTCCGTTAATTTTTGGCGGTTATTCTCTGCACGGTAACGGTCGCTAATTCCGCGGATGCCTTCCCATCTGTTTCGCGCTGGCGGGTTTTTTTCTCAGTCGCGAGAGGATGATGGAGATGAGAGCGCGCGAACGAGAGAGAGAGAGAGAGAGAGAGAGAGAGAGAGAGAGAGAGAGAGAGAGAGAGAGAGAGAGAGAGAGAGAGAGAGAGAGAGAGAGAGAGAGAGAGAGAGAGAGAGAGAGAGAGAGAGAGAGAGCAGCGCGCGTGAGAGAAGGAATGCACGTTAATCTGACAGTCGTTTGTAGGGGTGTGGCCATCTAGTATCATAAGAGAAAATATTAAGAACATAACGTGCTATTTTGCACACTTGTCCTGTTGCTCATGAGGGGGGAAAATACAGCACAATACTCAGTTGTTTTAATTAGTTCATATGAGATGTGGCTAGTAATCACACAAAAGTGCTAGTGTGTGATGGGGCAAAACTATGTTTATAGAACCACTTTATTAAATAAGATTACAGAAAAAAATCCATGGCACTTTCAACTCAAAATAAACTGACAAAGTAACTGCATTGTTTCTTTATGAATGAATGCACGTCATTCGGCTGACGGGTTTTACACAATGTTTACCATGTTCAGCCAGTCATTATTGGATTAAGATTATACAAATATGTATTATAGAGTCACTTTATGGCATACAATTAAAGGAAACTACTCATTTCACGTTTTAATTGAGTTAAACGTGATCAGAAGGACATATTTTGGATCACAATAATACAGAGACCACATCCTCAGTGAAACAGCTGAGCAGAAGGGGTCGAACTCAGCCACCATGGAGAATTTGTTGTTTCAAGCTACGTTCCTACTCGCAATAGCAGTTTGCCCCTAAGGGTCTAAATGTCTAAAAGAATAAGTTGAAGCATAAGTGTATAGTGTCTGCTTGAGTGGCTTCCCGTGTTCATGCATCTTGCATAAAAAAACATACAGTAATGGAACCAAGAAATATGATTCAATCATATGAAGACTACCTTGACTGAATCTATGTATGCTATGTCCACACATGATTGGTTTCTCCTCTATTCCATATAAAAATCTAGTCTTTTATGAGTAAACAAGACATATGATTAGACATGCACTCCAAGCTGAGCTACTGCTATGCATGGACATAATAGGATCCACATAAATCTGTATGTTTACTATCCATACTATTCATTCTCACATCAAAATCCATCAGAGATCACACTAATCTGCACAACCTCACATTCATTTGACACTCATTACTGTTACAGTACTGAAAACTGAAAGCAAGTACCCACCATCAGGTTCATAAGATGGAAATGATAATCAAAAGGGACCAATGAAATGGCACAGATTTTGGAGGGTTTTGAATCACTGTTGCATTAACAAACTGATTAAACGATCACAGCAGTCTTTCAAAACAGTTGAAAACAGAATAATACATTCAAATATACGACATCAACACACTGATAGCAACTAACATGTTCAAATCTTTTTATGTACACAAATAATCTTCTGAAAAGTGGTTGAAACAAAAATTGCCAGCTTCTGTCACCATTACCATCATATTTAATTAATCTAATTTATATTATTAACAATAAAAATCGACAAATAAATTCCAATAATTCAATATTTGAAACACTTCAAATGATTTGTATAAACTTTGTCTCTGTAATTGTTCATAAAAAGTGTAATGTTTTAGATGCCGTCAATATACATTGATTGATCACCACCAATGACTAGTTAGCCAGTATTACCTCCACGAAGAAGGTCCTCACATTCATTGGTTTTAATATGAAACCTGCCAGTCAGTTCTGAACTCTACAAACTCTAAAGAAACTGTGACCAGAAGCTTTATTTTTCTTGTTTATTTTTATTCCTTGTCTATGTTAAAAATACAAAACTGAGATGAGGCTACACTCACTGTTTTTGAATATAGGGTAGTGCTCATCTGTGTTATCACAGTGCTCATGCACTGTTAACATCACAAAATTACACAAGCCTGTGTTACTATGGTTACAGATTATCACAGGCAAATATGCACAGCATGAAAATCATGACTGGTGGAATGGAAGAGAGACAAAAAAAGTGATGTTTTATCAAAATATACTAATAAGGTTTATAATCATCTATAGAATTGAACTGTAATAAAAGATTAAAGTGGATTCACCGAAATCTTTTAAACATCTTTACATACTGATCAAATAAGGGAATGCTTCAAGCATTACAGTATAGTCACCTTAAATGATGCATTATGGCTTCAGAATGAGCATTTATGCAGTGCTGAGCATTCATAAATTCTGAAGACCTGGACCTCTAGAGATGTGACCCACTCCCTCTACAAATCCACATAAAATATCCCCTGACATATATATAAGGCATCCAGTTATGATTTGTTTTTTATTTTAGAGGCACGTCATATATCATATAAAGCAATCCAATATGTCAGCGGCTCATACTCCAAGAATAAAGTAAGAAACATGGGATTTAAGGACTATATGCGTGATGCTAGCTAGCTGGTGGTGTGATATTATGGAAGAACCCTGGGGTTTGGAAGTTGATGTCGATCTGGTTGGATCTCCATCCAAGGATTTACTAATCAGTGTGGTGCCTCCACTCAATTACTACAAGTCAACAACAAATCCAAACTGACACTATTCGTTTTCTTTTTAATATGAATGATGCATCAGTGTGTTATCAAGAAAAAGGAGAGTTGACAAATTGGAGGGGTGTATGGCATGTTTGAGTCATTTTACTCCAGAAAGTTTGAGGCAACACCGAATCTCTGTCCTTTAAGTCAACATAAATTAAAACTGATCCCTTTCTAATTCAAATTCCTGGTCTTACTCCAAACAATTCAAATCCTGCCCTCATCTTTTCATGGAATATCTTGTTTTACTCCAAAAAAACATTTCACCATCAAATCAAAATGGACAATTCTTGTTTTTTATGTAATATTTCTGTATTTATTATAAATGATTTATGCATGGACTTAATTTTTTTTATCATGCACAAAATCATGTGCACGCGTAATCTATAATCATAACTTCCCCTCCCTCTTGTAGTGATATCTCTTCTCTTCCCTGATGACGTGTTTACTAATGTGAGGGTGGGGCAACCTGTCACTCACATGAGATCAACCAATAGCCAGAGGTGGACCGTAACAAAGTACATTTACTTGAGTACTGTACTTTACTTGAGTATTATTTTATCTGGAAACGTTTTACTTTAACTTCACTACATTTGAAAGACAAATATCGTACTTTTTACTCCTTGAGTAGAAAGTAGTAACATCAGTCAGGGGATGATTTTGGTTGCAGGGGTTGCATTTTGGTTGGAAATGAAAGTCGGCCAACATCAGTCGGGTTCTGACGGCCACCCGATTTTAATTTTCAACCACAATACAGCGTCTGTCCGATGTCGGAGATTAACGTCAATCTGACGTTGGATTCTGACATCAACCTGATTTGCATTTTCAACGTTGGGTTTGGTCTTCTAAATGCAAATTTTGTCATTGTTTTGGAGCACACTAGCTTATAGATAACAGTCAGGCTAACATATTCATTCTAAAAGCCAAAATAGGGCACTATTTGAGGGAACAGCCATTTGGGTGTCCGAAACCATTGTGGATGTTATTGAGTGCACTTATTCAATCTCACATTCAATCCCACTACTGGAACTGTGTTCTAGAAATAAATTTGATATTGATATGAGGGTAGGGGCAGGTATAGATTCAGAGGTATAAGCAACTGTAAGTATTACATACAAAAATGCAACAATAATAAAACAATGCATTGACATTTACTTTTGACTTTTGATACATAAGTACTTTTAAAAACGAGTACTTCTGTACTTTTACTTAAAGGGGCTATGTGTAGGTTTTTACTTCAAAAAATCTTTAAGATAGAGTCTTCATTTGTACATTTATGAGCCAACCATAATGTAATAGAAAGAATGGCACTTTGACTGTCCACCACGGTTGCCTCTATCAGCCTGTAGGCTCAATTGTGTGTGGAGGAGTCAGGTCCGAATTGGCGTGAAAATTCACAAAATGTGACGTCATACGCGTTCTCGTCTACTTGGGCTTACATCTGTACGGCATCCATTAGTAAGCAGCGGCAATCGCTAGCAGTAGTGTTTCAAATGGACTCTGCGGACGGAAAGAAGCGACCAGCCTCCAGCACAATCCAGATACCCACGGAAACTCCTCGTAAGTTTAAAAAAAAAAAGCCTTATCTAGTGCGGCCAACGAGCGTGTGAGCGTGCGCACCGAGAACGAGCATGAGACTGGCTGCAGTTTCTCTAACGGCCACTGGTGTCAGTAACGGTAAGAAATTTCAGAGATTCCGCAATGCTCCTTTAAGTAAAAATCGGTCTTTACAACTTTTACTTGTAACGGAGTAATATTTGACCAGTAGTATCTGTACTTTCACTCAAGTAAGGAAGTTGTGTACTTTGTCCACCTCTGCCAATAGCAAACCACAACCATCCAATCAATTCCAACTGGACAAAATCAAGTATTTTACTCGAACATACATCACAATAGGGAAGAAAAGACTCTTGCAACTTCTGTTTCATGTTTACTTTAAGTTGCAATCATCTTAAGCTCATATCAAAAATCCAACCTAAATTCACAATAGGTTGTTTTTAAAACGATTCAAACAACTGCCATTAGTGTGTGTATGTGGAAGAGCAGCTGCAGTGGCTAAAACAGAGACGGTTTGAATCCTTAAGGAAACATCATAAGGAAAGCAGAAAGTGGAAAATGCTGCCTCGGGGAACTGCTCTGCCATCCCATGTGCGCCGCTCCCTAAGCTACATTACATATAGGCCTACGTCCTGAATATCTGTGTGCTGACACGCACAATGTGTGCAATGTGACAACGTTCCCTGGAGATTGCTGTGTGGAAACATTCTCCACTATGGATCAAGAACATAGGGGGAAACACTCTGTTCATACATTATGGTTTACTGTCAAGACATTGTGACAATGTTACGATGCTTCCATTGAATGTGACAAATAAGCCCTCTACCAAATAATTCAATCACTACAAGAGAGAGTGAAATTAGCCGGACCCTGCAGCAAAAGCAGTTAGATAATATATAAAATATAAATGAAGCT